TTGGCAATTGTGATGACAAATCCTCACAAAGATATAAACTCTCATAGTCAGGATTCAAACCAACATTACACTCATTTGTCATATCAAGACAGGGATTCCACTGCAATGCGTCACAACGGTTCAACTCAGTAGCCATATCTTCACAAACATTCAAGGTGTATGCCCACGGATTCATATCAGAATCACACTCTGCCCCTGGATCAATGCAAGGATACCCCTGGTCAACATCACACCGATTCAAACCAGACACAGGTTCCATCCCTGAACAAATCTCCAGGTTTGATCGAGCTTCAGAAAAGATATTACATGCCTTGTCGTTTTCTGCGGGATGTAATGAAACATCAATGCATGGATTCCATTGCAAAGGATCACACCGGTTAATTTGAAATGAAAGGTCTGTGCATACCTTCAGAGACTCATAATCTGGATTCAGATCACTGTTACATTCATCACTAGGATCAATGCAGGGCGCTGGTTGTGTAGAGCCACAACGGTTTGTATCAGGATCAGGAAGCAGATCCTCACAGATGTGAAGATGGCCATAGAAGTCTGAGTCAAAAGGGCATTCCTCTGATGGATCAATACAATTTCTCTTCTGCAATGGATGGCAACGTGGTAAAAGAGTAGCRAGATCCTCACACACCTTCAGGTACTCAATTAAGGGGTTAAGAGCAGATGTACACTCTTCCCCTGGATCAATACAAGGATGATCCTGAGAAGAATCACAGCGGTTCAAGCCCKCTGTGGGCTCCATCCCTTGACAGAAGGGTAAGCTGCTTCGGTTCTCTGTCCTATGAGGACAACCATAGCGACTTTCATCTCTGACATCAATGCAAGGGTTCCACTGCAAAGGATCACAGCGGCTCCTCAAATATGATAAGTCAGTACATATTTTCAGAGAAAACATTTCAGGGTTCATTTCAATGCTGCATTCTTGTCCACTTGTGGGATCAATACAGGGCGCAATTTGAGTTGCCGCACAACGATTGCTCAATGGATCAGGGTCCATACCATAACAAAACTGTAAGGGCAGATACTCAAACGCAAAAATGCATTCTTCTGATGGATTGAAACAAGGCATCATTTGTAAAGGATCACAACGGGAAAGAACAGGTGCAAGATCCTCACAAACTTTCAGCAATTCAAAGCCAGGGTTCAGATCAGAATCACACTCTGCCCCTGGATCAATGCAAGGATACTCCTGCTTATCATCACACCGATTCAAACCAGAAACAGGTTCCATGCCTGAACATATCGGCAAMATGTCTCTGTTCTCAGTCCCAAAAGGACAGGCACTTCCAGTTTSCTGACGAACATCAATGCATGGGTTCCACTGCAAAGGATCACACGAAGGAAGCGAAGAGGAAAGATCCGTGCATACCTTCAGAGACTCATAATCTGGATTCAGATCACTGTT